TGTACTGTATCGTGACTGGCCGTCTAAATTAAGTTTTCATTTCCCATTCGACCACAAAACAAAAACAAACAAGCAAACAAAAACTACCGGGTAAGAATACCAGTGCACACTTTTGCGGGACCGCAATAGGCCTACTTACAAACAAAGGGAAATAGCACGGGGAATTTTCTACCTGAAAATCTCTGGATTATGTCTACTTCGCACTCAAGCACGCTTCGGATTTAAGCACGCTTATGCTTTCTCCCGATGACCGTGCTTAAAGCCGGCATGGACTGAACCACCAGGCAAACGTCAAGTCACGACAGTTCCATATTCATTGGTCTGGCCTGAGTTTCACCCTCCGAAAAGGAGGTCAAATCCACGAAAGAAAGAGGAGAAATCGATTCCAAAATTGAAGCAAAAAATCGATGAACATTACTGGTCAAAAGGAACCCATCTTTTAGTGATACAGAAGAACATTTGCAGTTAGTGTGGTCCAAAAGGAATTCATTCCGCTCGCTTAGCCTTAGCCACACCATGCTTTTGTCTGATTCTTTTTAGTTTAGTTTTTAATAAGAATTTTACCGCACTTGCAACGCAAATTGGTCATGTAAGTGCAGAAGGTTAGAGATGTTATTCATTCGAGCGTCTGACTCTAAAAACCTACTGCTTACTTTCAGTTCCAGACCGCGCGTCCTTTGCGCCGAACGAGAACAATGGCGAGAGATGCAACAGACGATGGTCAAGGGCAGCAGGTAACTTTTGATCAATTTAAAGCTAGTGTTGTTGTTGTTGTTGTTGTTGTTGTTGTTGATGCTGTTTTCGTTGTTATTGTTGTTGTTGTTGTTGTTGTTGTTGGGGTTGTTTTCGTTGTTGCTGTAGCTGCAGTAGCAGCAAATGAAGCTGCAAAAGTATGTACAGGCAGAAATTAGTTCTGTCAGTCACAGCTGTGTTGCTTGTTGCTGCAGTTGTTGTGTTGTTGTGACCCCCATCCCCTGCCATACAAAAAAAATAAATAATAATAATAATCCAAAACCAGAGACAGCATTCTCAACAAAAGAATTCGGATGGCGCTCATATGACCTTATGCAGTTGCGAGCCCCGTAAAATCCTCTACTATAATAACAAAACAAAAACAAACAAAAAAGAATTCGGAATCTCGTTTCATCCACTTTACAGAAACGACCGCCATGGTGTAATACGAGTACAATGTATTATGGAGAACATCGAATGCACACTGCCAATCGAATTCGTTTGATTCAGTCAGGGGCAAGCCAGATTTTCCTTCAAAGTCATCGAGAGTCAAAAGCTATCAGTGTGGCACTATACGATCGATTGGACTCGCCACCTTGGAAAAACAAAGTGTGTGTGT